TATTTTTTCTGACACTGAAAATAAAGTCCAACAAAGATGCTTTACAACTTTATATGTTTTGTGTAAAGACCTTGTAACATTGAATATTATTTTTCAACTAATATTGATATTTTGATAATAAAAAATAAAGTTGGTGAATAAAAATACATCAGTTTGGTTAAAGATTTAACTGCTAAATGGGGTGATTTAAAAGTATATCACCATTTCTGAAAGTTATAAATAAAATGTAAATGTTTGCAATTGCAAAACAGAGTTTTGCATTTTCTTCAAATATTTGCAACCAGTCGATCGGCTTTCAGTAAACTTTAATAACCAGTTTCGGATGCTCAAATAAAGTTGGATGTTCTTGTGAAGCAAGCATGGCTTCATTTTAGTAATTCATATTAATATAAAGTAAACTTAGTAACCTTTATATATAATCAGCTGAGTGCCGCTGGTGTAAACACCAATATGTCTTCATGACGAAATAGTTCTCCTTGTAGTAAGTAATAACTGCTACTAAAAAATGAATAATTCAAAGGTACTTTTTTCCCCTCATAATCAATACAAACAGACCCATTTACATTTGTCAGAAATGTTGCACTTCTTCTCACAGAAGCACTGTGGTATTAGAGATGCAATGCCTCTCCCCTCCATCCAGCTGCTCACCTGACCAAAACAATGAGCGGCTACTGCAAGTTTTAAACTTATTCAGAAAACAAATCGAAACAAAACAAAACATATGACCTTCTTTATCTAACAAGGCATTCAGAGGTAGGTTCCCTATAAGATGCCACATGCTAGCAGCACTCATGCTACAAGCTAATACTATATATTAGAGCACATTTTAAAAGTCAGTAAAGCTCCTAAATTTGACATAGTGAAGCTCCCAGACAACATGAGCTAATGCTATCTGTCCAATGATTAGCTTCATGGAAATCGAAAGCTCAATCATTGTCTTCTGTCGGTCAAAGTCCCCCATTGAGACGTGCTTCCTAGCTGTAAAGTCGTAAATCCTGAAATGCTTCAGAACGATGCAGGAAAATATAAATCAGCTAACATTATGTCCTCACCTCATTCCTCCTCAGTGTTGTTGCTAAAGCACTGGAGGCTGATGTGGAGGTTGTGGTGAAGCCAGAGAGAAAAAAAAATAGGCAATTGTAGCAACTAACCTTACTGCTGTAGTTTAAAACAAAGGAAAATGTTCTGCAAGATTATCAGAAAAACATAAATTATTCAAGCCTGATGATTACATTTGCACAGACCAGACCTTGAGCAGACTTTCAAAAATAGATATGTTGTGTGTCAGATCCATGTTTGTTTGAAATAATTTATTTTAGTGTTGAATGATCCTTTGTCTTTTTGTATTAAAATGTATTGGTTTCAACAACAAATTTAAAGGCTAAAGGAAGCACCCACACTGAAGAAAAGCATTCATAGTAAAGCACAAAATAATTAAAAAAAACATTGCGACTGACTCTAAAGTACAAACTTCCATAAGGGATTTGAATATTGCTTAGTGTTTACATTTTTGCCAAATAGGGAGTTGACATTTAAATGGTTCTTTTAAGCGGGGACTGAATTCTCCCACACACATCGGTTTTGCCCTAATTAAAGAAACTAAAAATATATATGTTGTAATTTGTATCGTGACATCCCTGTCCTGTAGTTATGTCCTTCCAATACAAATGTAAATATTAAACCAGTTAATTGGTGATGGTTTTACATGGAAAAGCATTAAAAAATAAAAATAAATAATAAAAAAACTTTCCCTTGGCAGTTTAGCCACATTTCACACGGTTCATTTAAATTAACAAGTCAAAAGTTCAGCAGCTCATAGCATTAAATTTCCATATTGGTCTCTCCACTGAAACTGTCCATAAAATTAGAAGGGAAGCCTGTTGCCTTATACTTAAGTGCATCTCCTTTAAACACCAACAATGCACAGAATAGCTGTGCTCTATTAATTAAAAAATATTTTTTCACACATTTTTCTTTTAGTTTTCCTGGTTTCAAGAAGAAATGGTGTGCACTGATCAGCTGTAACATAAAACCATACACAGGGAGAGATGACTTCAGAAAGCCTGTTTCCTTGAGGATACATACAAATACAGTCATGCTTTTTGACATATCTAAAATCTTTAAGGACATCCCCTGGAACCAATCTGATGCGATATTTACAAGATATTTTCTGAAAATATTAGCTTCTTTGGTAGTGCTAGAATCATTTACAACATATGCATTAATGCATTCTAAGCTAAATCTGGTGTGTGAACTATTAAAAACCACAACATAGAGGGAAAACTAATACCATGTACTGTTCAATAACCTTGTATAGACTATTTTTAGCTGCTTACAGTCAAATCAACCATGACTTTCTTGGCTAACACACAATTGGGGAGTCATTCTAAACTCCTTGAGGTGTTGTAGAGAGAAAAATAACTTGAGTGACATACTTTCTTGTCACAGTTATGATTCAATCTCATGAGTGTGTGAAGAATCTATAAGTCTTAATGACTGCAATAAATTAACTCCCTATCTAGATAAATTGAATCAGTTGAAGTGTTTTCATAGTGATTTGAAAAGAAACTAATGTAGTGATAGGTTTTCTTAAATATGCTCTCTTCAATGAATGAAACAGAAATTAAAAGCAGCTATTCAAAATGTACAGAAACGTGTCATTTCTGCTGTGTGTTACAACAGAAAATACTCACTTCCACATTCAAGTAATTGTTTCCATATGGAAAATGATTGTCCTGACAATTGATGGAAATTTAGCAAATTACTCCATGTATGTTGTTATTTCAGCAGATTTTTGGTTACCGGTAGTCACATCCAAACTCTTTGTTGAATGAAAGTATCCAAGTGAAAGTCAAGCTAAAGCCTTTACCCACAGAGCTTTGTTTTTCATTGTTACCATTCACTCTCTCTCAGCTCAGCTGTGTGCAGTTTCAAAACCACCATAGCTTCTATGTAAATGACATAATTATGGGCAAGAAAAAAAACCTTTATTGCTCATAAAAGATTAATAACATGCAATAAGCAGCACAGAGGGTCTAATTTAGCCTGTCTGTCAGCCAAACTTGATTAGATTAATGTATTTCAGTCATCAGCTGTCATTGAGACATGACTGTGCTGTATTGATGCTCCCAGCAATCTAAGCTACTCAACTGGTGTAATTATGTGATAATTGTAGATTTCAGCAGCAGTTTGTGTGTGATCTGCATCTGTCAAAAACAATATTGTGATTTGACTCATGGGCCTTTTAAATTGTTTACAGTGCAGTTAGAATAGTGATCCATAAAGTAGTTATACTGACTTGCAAGACAAAGTTTGCTTCTTTGCACTTTAAAGGAGTTATGACTGTTTTGAAAACATTTTTCCAGATAAGTTAGACATTAAATACTACAAGACAGGTCTGGGTTTCTTTATTCCACACAGACAGGATAAATGTTCCGGGTCCAGATTCTGTTGGTCAGTCTTACTGCTGGGTCAAGTTCTGACATGAATGTCTCCTGGGATTATGACAGAACACTTGGGCTGGGTGGCACTATCAGTTATTAACTTGGACATAGGGTTCAGCTCGGTGAGCCAAGCGACATAATTTGTCTGATTAATGTGTCGCAGCAACTCATGAATATTCATGCTTTCCACCTGACTGGTCTCGAAGAGTCAGAAAGAGGCAGAGGAAAAAAAATAGATGAGCAAAATAAATAAATAAATAAATAAAACACCCGAGGAGCCTTTACCTCAGACTGTGGAATGATGACAATGATGAAAGAAATGAAGAAAAACTTTTTTTCACATTTCAATCAGAACGAGGCACACATTAAAGGCAAACAAAAAACGCAGTTAGATGGAACGATGTAGGAAACAGATTCGACTACTTCTCAAATCTGGTTAAAAAATGCTAATGTGCAAAAAAATCGTCTCACACAATGTTGAAGTGCCAGAATCTGTGATGTAAAAAATAAAAGACAAACTTGTATCTTTCATGTAAAATTTCACTGTACAATTTCAGCTGAAAATATACTGAAAAGGAACAACAACCTAATTACAAATCTATTTGCTCCAACAACATCCCACTAGGTTAAAGGATATTTTGATTCTATTTTAGTATTCATCTTCATTAGGAGTCTATCAGCATCTCACATCATGACTTGTTAGTGATATTTTCCTATTCTATTGTCTAAATATTGTGAGCTTCTTCTCACGTGATCACAGAGGGCAAGAGAAAACACACTAAACAGTCTCAATACACCAGCAGTAAAAACAGAAGGATCAGTGAAAAGGAGATGAAAACAACTGACTATGAACAAGGATGGAGGGGATGTTTTTTCTTTTTTTTTCCAGGTATGTGTGGTCAGGAATATATCAGCCTTTAGCTACTTGAGTTTCGACCCGCCAGTAACCTCACAGCTTTGTCAGGTAGCATATGAACCCAGTGTTTCTCATGAGACTCGCTGTCTGCCTCAGCATTGACCACTATCCTGCTCTGGAGAATAACAGGCAGCAGCAACAGGCTGTGTCTCATGAATATGGATCCGATCCTCAATACAACCCCAGTTCTTGCAAAAAAAAAAAAAAAAAAAGATAGAGGAAACCACAAGTGAGCTTTTTTTATTTATTTATTTTTTTGTTAAAGTCATATATATTATCAGCTTTAACTTGCCGATATGATTAATCTGGATTCTTTAGTTTAAATAAAGATGTTACTAGATATTATTTGCTCAATCAATTTGTGTGTACAGAAAATATAATATCAAGTTGATATTTCAACCAGTTGCACTATTTTTTCCTGCTCACTCATGCACTCATCATTCTTGAACGGCGTTTAAAATTCTAGCTGCTGAAGAGGACAGCACCGCCAACATCCTTCGAGACTGTCTATTCCCCATTCAGATTTCTTCATGACCGCTCACTATGCAACAATCCCAGGCTGACATTTTCAGGCTGAGCGTCGTTACTATCTCAACCGAAATCACATGAAAATAAAACGTCTCTGTTATGTTCATCCTCAGGAAGTGAGCGATGCAGATATAATGGAGTTGATTCACAGCTCGCTGGGGCGGATGACAATCATTCGTCAGGTTTTCCCACTGTGGAGGGATACCAACGTTCGATGCATGAGGAACAATCATCGCATTTCGTCCCTGCTGTGTGATCCACAGGAAGGCTACCTGCAGTCACTGGAGGTAAATAAAACTAATAAAATTCTGTGCATCATTTAAAAACTGAAAGTTGAGTAAATATTTTAGGACAACCACTGCCAACACATAACATGTAACCAAGTTCAAGGTTTGAAATCTAAACCTGGTGAGCTTTACTCTATGGTTTGCCAGCTCTAGCACTATGCCAGATGCGACACTCGATTTAAAGTGGGATTCAGAGTAAGGGAGTGGTGTGTGCAAATGCACAACAGAATTAGTCATTTCAAATCTTTGTATGCTTTAAGTTTCATCTCAAATATATGTATTCTAGATATTTATCATATAGAAATCTCAGTAAATAAAGTTAAGTTGGTGTTTATAGCTTCAGAAAAAATAAGTTAAAATGATGAAGCACTATGAGTGGTCTCACAAGGCATTGTTGCTCACAGGCTTTATTTGGTCTAATGTATGTAAAATCTAAATAAATAAGTATGTATAAACAATAATAAAAAATAAAAAAAAAATCAATAATATTTGCTATAGATTTAAAGGTGTGAGGCCAGTCAAGCAAAAGTTAGGAATTTCTGTCCAGTCTTTATTTGTTCTTCTGAATACGTCACTATGGACTCGTGTTCCTTTCAGAACTGAGCCCCATGTTATGCACTAGCAAACACAACAACTATAATGATACATCTACAATAAAACATACTGTTGTCTAATGTTTTAATGGAAACTAAAAATTTCCACTGCGTGCAAATGATATTCGTCTTTGGGCTAAATTTGATATCAGACAAAAATTAATTTTTGTAGTTTAGGTTCAGTTAAAGGATTCACATTACACAGTTATTTTATAATTTATTAATTGTAATTTTGATTTAAATTATTAGTTGTGTCTTTTGTTTAATAATTAATAAACTTATTCACATCCAAAGCTCCTGAAGACTCCCATAGCTAATATATATATATAATATATATATATATATATATATATATATATTAGTCTTTGATTTCTGTTTAGAATATATTATAGACATTCAGCCACAGTGCAGCTGCTGAACGTCAGGAGATTGCAAATGTGAATTCATTATGTATGCAACTGAATGTATGTTAAACTCCCTTGGCAAGACAATTATGAGAGACATAGATGCCTATGAATACAAATTACTGCAGCAGTGTTTCTTGGGAATTGCCAGCATAACTAAGTAAATTGTTATCTTATGCTATGGAAGCTTGTTTTAATTAATGTCCCACTGTAATTCATGTCAAAATCACCACAAAATCAATTTATCAGAAAGATGCCACAAACCGATATGTGGTATTAAATGTTTCTCCAGTGTAGGTGAAACCATGTTAATTTATCCACTGACAATGAATATTACTGAAAAACTGTATTATTTCTCTGACAGTCATTCACTTTCCTGAGTTTTCTGTTTCTTGACTCACTGCCATTTAATACACCAAAAAGTCTCTTTCTCCAAACAGTTCTGTTGCAAAACCGTAAAAGGAAATCTTCTCTGCAGTCTGTTTATAAATCACAAACCATACACCTGTGCCAGCCACGTCCAGCACAGGTGTATGGTTGTTGCATATATGAAAGACGTCATTACTGACCTGGAGGAGCGGAGTCTTAATCATTAGTACCAACATAGAAACATCGCTTCTTCGTTTTAAGCACAATTTCCAGATCAGCCCACTTGGAAATTACACAGAGGTGGTAAGTGTTCAAGATCAGGCTTGAATTATTTTCTAAAGGGGGTTGAAATCACTGGGTTTTCCTCCTATAAGAATTTTGTTTGACTCAGTCGATCATGATTGGAATAGCTGTTTCCCTATGGCTCTACTGAAATGCTAATTGTACAGTTAATCATCACAACATACAGATGGCCAAACCATGTGGTGTGTGCACCCAATGTCTTCAATAATTCACATAAATGAGGTTAAATTTATCCGGTAATGGCAGTAAAATTATTAATCTGAATAGTTTAACGGTTAAAAGATGGCATTTAAAAACTCCATTCGAAGCTAAATAGCTTTTATGTGACCTGAGACATACTGAACTGAGTTTCACCTGGATTCAGCTCCTGACTCACTGACCTGGAGGCAAGTGAAGCCGATTTGGAGAATTTCCTACCAACGAGAGGCTTGAAGTGGGAACTCTAAAAATGTCACGAACTGAATGCCAGGGGTAGCTGCCAATATTGTTCCCAGTGATAGTTTTCTGGGGGAAGTTTACTTTGAATTGACCTAGAAAACCTTCAGTGTTAAATCAATTGTCACACCCTGGCTGAATCTGGGAAGGATCCACTGCTGTGTCCATGAAGCGGAAATAGTTGAATGATTGGCAATACTAAAGTCCAATACGAGGAGTAAATTTAACCATCTCGCTCCAAAATACCATTAAATTTTTCCTACTTTATCATAAAAAACCTCTTACTGTGCAGGAAGAGTATCACCTTCCAAGGCAGAATAGCAATTAAATCTCACTAACTCACCCAAGAGTTATCCTTAAAAAAAAATTAGTAGACAGACACGAATGAGGAGACGAGCTGAGTTTTGTGAAGAAGAGAACAAAAATTTTACCTAAACTTTCAAGAAAGGAGAAATGTGTCATGCACACCTGGAAAAAAACGTCAATTCAACCTTGCAATCTGCTGCCATTCTAAAGAACAGAAACTTTCTCTTACTCTACGCAACAGAGGAGCGTGAACTTCAGAAGGTTGTCTTCTAGGACCCCAAAAAATTACAATATTGTTTCTTTGTTGAATCGTATCTGTGCTACAGAGTTATTTTCCTTAAAGTGAATGTTTTATATTCCCCAACAGGTGTCCAATCTCTACCTATATGATAGTGTTTTGATGCTGGCAAACGCCTTCTATAGGAAACTGGAGGATAGGAAGTGGCACAGTATGGCCAGTCTAAACTGCATGAGGAAGTCCACAAAACCATGGAATGGAGGCTGGTCTATGCTGGACACCATTCAAAAGGTAAGAGACATTTGTTTTTTCTTAAATCAAACTTTTTTTGGTAACAAACAGTGTTTCTTTGTAATTTTATCAAAGACTATATATAGTAAAGCCTTTGATGCTATATGACCCTTTGACTTTAATTGAACGTTATAAAGATTTTATTTTCTGACGTTTTTGAGATTTATGTCATGCAGTGATTAATCAAAAATATCAAAGTGTCAAAAGCATTCCTTAATTGTTTCTTAAGTTTTTTATGCATACTCAGGCATCTGGTCGTCAACTCTGCATCCCCAGAACCAAAAACGGAGAAGCATCATTCACTTTTTACGCTCCTCTAATCGATAACAAATTTATAGGAAACCGCAAAATATTGGGAAAAAACAAGGATATAAACCTACTTACTTAGTGTTGACATAGATTAATAATGCTTGGAACATTAATTCTAGTCTTCATTCAATATTTGATGATTACTCTTGAGCAGTTTGAACAAATGTATTTGAATAAATGTAATGTTTGTTCAGTTTGTTGTTCCTAATATAATTGGTTAGCCTGTTGCGTGTTCAACATGCAAAGTATTTTAAACTGACTTGTTACTGAAATGTGATGTGCAAAAAAAGCTGACTTATAAAACAATATTGCAGATATAAATTGTTCATTAAAAGCTATACATATCTGATTAAAAATATAGGATTATCTAATCATATATTGAATAATCTTATATCTACTGTATATTTTGTAAATACAGTAGAAAATATGTATTTATACAATCAAGGTATTTCAACAGCTGAAGGACAAATATATATATATATATATATATATATATATATATATATATATATATATATATATATATATATATATATATATATATATATATATATATAATATTTTCTTTAAAAGTCCAGAGGATTATTAAATGTGAACTCTATCCCTAGGTTCAGGATGGATTTATGGCAGTTTCCGGGCTTTGATCTTGTTATAGTTATGTGGCCTTTTCAGTTCTTTCAATGAGAAAAAGCCCCCAATATTGAAAAGGTCTTTGATCTCATCCACCTCAATCTAATAATGTGTTTTTATTATTGTTGCACAGAGTGGTGGTGGTTTAATTTTAGCTGTCACAAGAGATGGCTCAATGAGACAGGGAACATAGTGTTACTTTGTCACCACATGCGATCTTAAAATGATGTTTGTTTTTCTGTGACACATTTACTATATTCAAAAACTTCAAAGGGCATCTCTTGCCCTACTGAAAAATCCAAGAAAGCAAAATTCAGTAAGACTTTTTACAGGTTGTGAATAAGACAATTTTCAAAATATCTCGTTAACATAACTTGACATTAACCAAGTTAAAGTCAAGTTATTTGTTTATCAAAGTATTACTGATTAAACTTTAGCTTTAATAGCATAAATATATGTAGCAAAAAGCTACATCATTTTAAAGTTTAATCAGTAATACTTATATAAAATTTTCTTGATATTATACACAACAAATTCAGTTATGTTTACCTATGCAACAGCTTTATTATTATTATTATTATTATTATTATTATTATTGTTGTTGTTGTTGCAACAGGGACGGATCAGCGGCCTGACTGGATTGATGGACTTTCGTGCTGAAGGCTCCAATTCCCACGTACAGTTTGAGATTCTTGGGACTAGCTACAGTGAGACTTTTGTGAAAGACGTGAAACGGGTCAGTCTGTTTTCTCTCCTATATAGTTTGCAGCATATTTTCCTTTTGACAAGCTTTGAATGTCAGAAATAACTTTCATGCAATTTGTTTCAAAGAAAAGCCTCAGCTTTTAGTTCAATAAAGAAGTGTCTGTGCCATGTCTCGGTTGCATAGCCTGAGCAATGCGCTGAAGACAGGTCAATTAGAACTTCCTTATGAAAGTCCATTCAGGAGGCTTTTAGTGGCTAGAATCAATTTTGTGCTGACTTACATAGCTGCCCAAGGTGCTGAGAGAACTTCTGATGAAAATGGCCTGTATGTCTCAATACAACTACCCAACTAGCCATTTCTTATAAACCCATTGTTCATACAAATATATTTTTGATTGGGCACATATTCATTAGACCAACTATCCTGTAGGTTACATTTTTTCTATTCAAACTTTTTTTTTAACTCATTTTGGTGGACATAAGAGATCTTTAGAAATTTGGTCTAGCAGTGGAAAAATACAAGGATTGCATATATATGTGATTTTTTTTTTTTTTCTTCTGAGAATGAGTCATAACATTCACACACAGAATAGCTGTGTCTGGATCATCTAGTGCTTATTGTGCTTAATATTAATGTGATAAGTGTCAGAAACCCTGTTTTGGACCTCTTGAGCTTCACAAAGTTGCTAGAATATGAGATTTACCACACAACGTTAAGTCAAAAGTAAAAAAACAAAAAAATATGAAGCACACAACTTGCAAACTTCCTCATTTAAAATCTCAAGTCCCTGAAGCTACATTCCCTAGTTTAAATACAAACTAGCTATAGGCTATTTGTGACTTGTTACAGTGAAATATGAGTGCCGTGTGTCTAAACAGAGATTGAGAGCGTTATTTGTGCACTCTGTTATCTGTCGCGTTTTGTCCTGATTCAGTCAGGGCCTTCCCCCAGAAAGAAGAAGAATCAGGTTTCTTGGCAACCTATGTAGAGCAGGACTGACCAGAAGCATTAATGAAGATTTAATCACCACTCAGCCTGACTAAAGTCATTCAAACCAATTCATCATAACATGGCCATTATCATTAGCAAGAAGGAAGATACACACTTACATTAAAAAATGAAGACGCATCAATGTTAGTCATCCAAAGAGCACAATACAAACAGAAGAGGCCCACTTATAAATGTACCATTAATACACATGGGAAGTCCAAACAGGAGCAGCAGGAAACATGCCAACAATTGGGTGCATGTCTCTGGAGATCGTTAGCAGCAGGTATAATGGAAATGTATGCGCTATCAGTGCTGTTGTTCATTAGCAGGTATGTTTGTGTACCTGCACTACAGGGCAGAAGCCGTATACTGCTAGAAAACAGACATAGATATAAGAAGTCACTGCACATATACACCATACTGTTTACTCCAAAACAATAACTGAAAAGGAAATAGAACTGCAGAATATTCTTAGCAGGTTGAATCAAAGTTCTTGTTTATTTGAAACTGCGATTCCACAGTGTGCTGCCCCTGCCAAGCCCTCGCTGCATTTATCATTCCGTCCCCCTCTTAGTTTTACGTTTTCTAACGTCCAGACCTCCCCCTCTTTCACCTCTCCTCTGTGGTTGCTTCCTCTAGTCTCTCTTAACCTTTTTACTCTCATTTTTCAGCCCTGCTTTCCTCCCTCTCCATCATCATTTATCTGCATTCAGTCCATTTTCTTCCTAGCCTGATGGCTCTTAGATGAGGCGTCTTTCTGGTTAGAAACTGTAATGAAGACTGAAATACTATTTCCAGAATGGCTACTGTGAGATTTCTGCACCCTCCACTGCTGATGCAGAGTGATCGATACCGTTGTTGTTTTGGTTTCCCAGTTTGGTCTTATTGATGTGTCAGCTCGTCTCTAAGCAGATATTCCTAATGACTTCCAGCTTACATTGAGCTCCCATGGAGAACAGTCGGCTTATTTGAATGTAATTGCTCCTACAAGGATCTGGCATGCATGGTGCTGTAGATCATTTCTCAAATGTTTCTTCAACGGGACTGTTGTTAATCAAAATCATATTTTTAACACTGAAAATAGAAATTATTACATTCTCATTCTATATCTCATACTCTGATGTTTTTGAATGAAATCTAGACGCATCAACATTTAAATCTTTGCACTGAAATACAAAATCGAATCCAAGAGTCACTGTCACTGTGGTCTCTTTCTGTCTCTGTCTTTCTCTGTGATTTTTGGGGATCTTGGATAAGCTGAAGTCAATAAAATGTCTGGTAAACACCATTACCCAATGAATCCTTTCCAACCTGACATTATAGTTTCTTCTGTAGAGGCATTACGTCAAATCTGAAGGAGCCTTTGAAAATACATTGGTGCTGCATACTAGACTGATGAAGAGGATGCTCAGCATTGTCGCGACTTTCTTAATTTTCTGAGGAATCCTTCTCTGAACAATAATCTCCACAGGCAGTTTCTAGAACATAACCAGCTTTCATTAAAGCCTGGTTATGTTCCTCCTCTAGAAATACAATCTCTTCTGTCTCGTTTTATAAATAGTTTTGCTGTTGCACCTTCACTTCAGTCTGTCAAAAAAATAAAAATTCTTATTTTTGTTTTGAGGATTTTGAAGGACTTATCCATGCCTTCCTTACAACTTGACTGCATTTCATTATATAGAGGCTTGGATAAATCACAGATGCAGCGACTTCAAGTGATCCAGAATGCAGCAGCTCGGCTTCTTACAGGAGCCAGGAAGCATAACCATATAAGGCCCATACTGGCCTCTTTACGTTGCCTGCCCGTCTCTTATCGAATAGTTTTAAAGATTTTTTAAAGAATTTATAAAGTTTAAATGAGTTAGCTCCCCTTTATCTTTTAAAATTTCATTCTGTGTCCAGAACTCTACAATCAAATAATCAGCTGTTTCTGAAAGTTCTTCGGAGTCGACTTAAGAGAGAAGAAAATTTAACTTTTTCTGTTGTTCCTCCTATTCTATGGAACAATCTACTTTTCCAGATTAGATCTGCCCACACCCAGGTGTGCCGTGGTGGCATAGAGGTTAAGCACAACCCACATATAGAGACCCTAGTCCTTGACATGGCTGCTGCAGGTTCGATTCCCAGCCTGGCAACCTCTTTCCTGTCAATTCACTGTTAAATGTCAAATTTGTCTACCACAATAGAAAAAGAGCTTGACCCTGCCATGTGTCTCCTGAAATCCCCCATCATCTCTATTGTTTCGTTCACACACAAGACGACAACTCCAACATCATGACACAGAGTAGATCACCAGCTCTCAGTTCTCAATGTCTTGTCCATCTTTGATACACGCAACAACTGCGGTCATCTGAGTATTTCTGCAGGTGACAGGACTCTCAGTTGTTCTGGAAGTGGGAGACAAACAGAGTGAAAAGGAATGGTGAGAGTATAGTCCCCTGCGGTGCTACTGTGCTGCTGACTGCCTGGCTAGTCTTTACACTAATAAACTGTGTTGTCAGGTCATCAGAGACACAAGTGATTGTTGAGGCCTCCAAAGCGCAGTTGAATTTTAACTCAGTTGTCATAATAAGTCAATAACTCAACAACCCAGCTGATCTAGCAACATCCATTTTCCCAAAATAAACATTTAGACATTCTGCACTGACAAGAGCCAACTAACATTTAATTCACTGAAGATGAATCAAGTTTAGGAACCCATGTTTATTAGTCACAAGTTTCGATCAGAATTTGCTTATTGGCCATCATCACACTTCAAGACGCAACTGCTGATGTTGATGATAATGGATGCAGGGTTTCCCATTAGCTTTAATGTGCAACACCACATGCAGCATGTAAATGACGCAGTTGTTTAAAGCTGCCACATTCGTGCCACTGCTCAAAATAATTCCTCACTGACTCATCAAGCACAAATGACATTAAATATTCTCTAAAGGGCACTTCTCTCTTGCCAACAATAGATCTGCAGGGGGTTGATGGGAGTGTTGATCCAACAATTAATTAGCAAAGTGCCGAGAAGCATGGCTTTTATAAACGCATTTTCTGGCTCCGTAGTGTTTTTAAAAGGTCCCTTGGCTGCGTTGAATCTCTCCCATAGGTACACAAAAACTAAAAACAAGTAAGAGCTTTTTTTATTCAGTGGCTCATTTTCATTTTATTAAAAGTTTTGGTACAATTTCAATTTCTTCCTACATACATAATAAATAAAAAAATACTGACCTGCAAAGTGAAACATACATTTTTTTCAAAATTAGTCTGTTTTAATAATGCCCAACGTCTCCTTCGACTGAAATCCCTCTGTCAATTATGGAGAATAATCTCAATTTAAAAAATTACTGTGAGCTCCTTAAAACACATCTTGTGACTGAACAATATTGGAGTGATAGAGTCATATTGCAATGGATAATCACAATATTAGCAATAGTATTTTCAGATGGCAACTCACTCAAATCTCTGAAAAAATGTGTGAATGTCTGCAGTTCACCTTTACAGTTAAATCTCCCATAACTCTAAACTGTCTGTGTTTGTTAAAAAAAGGAATTAAAATGACACTGGATAAACTAATATTTTCAGGCCACAATCCACTGGAGAAAAAAAAGCTCATTTACTATAAAAAGGTAAAAAGATTAAGCCTGGGGAAATACAGGCCAATATATTCTCTTTCATGTTCCCGTCGTCAAAATAATAAGAAAAAAAAATGTTCCTGTAACTTTTTATTTTAAATGTACATCATTTGATGTACCTGCTCTTTGTTGTTTCCTCTTCACTGGGTAAATGTCCTATGGATGTGACATACTGAAAGCAGAAATAGGAGTTTGCACATTCAATAATTTGCATATATGCAATTCAGTCAGCATTCTTAATGCAGAAACAATAAAAAAAAAAAAAAAAACATTGATGTTTTCAGTCAATTTATTTAGGTTTCAGTTCAAACCTGATGAATTTAGATACCACCAGTAATTTTTGGTCTAAAACACATGCAGTTAAGTGCTTAAAGCTGCTATTGGTCATGATCTTGTGTAAACTAATGCGAACAAATTGCCCAGCCAGTCATGCAAGCAATTATAACTACTGGTTATATTTTCAGTTATACTCATAATATTGATTATTTCATGATGAAAATCAGATGGATTTTTTTTTATGCCTAAACTCTCATTTTCTGCTGCTATGGACAATTTAAAGAGAAATGTATGCTTATGTCCACACACTTCTGTATGTCATCTTTGGTCCTGGCGTTGTTTTCCTAATAAAACCTGTGAGGCTTTTACAAAACAGCTGGATTCATACTCTATATTGAACATACTGTACTGCACACCATTTGGTGCCCACATGTACATCAGACACTTTCCAGATTTTTATTTTATTTTCCTTCAAGTTCACACTAATTCATCACTTTATGTTTCTAATTTCACCTCAAATTTCAAATATAGCTAAAGCCTAAAAGATTTGATTGGAGAATTTTGCAAACCACTGTACTTCATTTCTCAAATTAGGCAGACGTCCAGTTCCTCTTTGAAGTAGAATTTTCCTCAGAACATGTTCACAGTATTAGCCTAATAAACACTAATGGCCATACATTTCCTGTGTAATTGCAGGTGATGTGACTTTGCTATATTTATTGTTCGTGACCTTCCTAGTGGCGCACTGGTGAGCAAAGCTCTGTGAAGTAGAAGTGTTCCTCTTTAGTGTTCTTCAGTTTACAGAGCAAGGATTGCTCAGTGTTTTTCATAGAGGACAAAACTGCTCATGGAGAAAATAGCCCCCTGTGAGGGAGCCAGTGCACGCTGACATTTTGCCTCAGTGCACACTTTGAAACACAAACACACAGCACAGTCATATAGACAGATGGGCAGAATTATTATGAGCACCTGTAGACAAAAAACAAAAACAGATCTGAAATCTGAAGCACGGAAAAGTTCCCGAGCACCAGGAGAAAAATTCCATTACCAAAAAATTCAGGAACAGGACAAAACATGAACCTCGTAACACTTCATTGATTGAGACATCGCTTATGTCTAAGTGACCTTGTCACAGGTCATTGTCAGATGTCATGTTTGTTCGGTCGTTGCTTAAGTAGTGTACAGTTTGCCACCTTTCAAAGAACCAACAGCTTCCGGGTGGATGTCAGATTTTTATTGGCACATCAGTAAATATCAACACAGATGAATAAGCTGACATTACATTGCCCACCAGCAGATGTGTGCCAACAACTCACAAGTGACTCATGATCAGCTTTCACATCAACATTCCTCTGACATCCTTGCAGCGAAATGCTTCTTGCGCTGCATATGCACTAATCTTCACATGACTGACATCATTACTGTGCTTAGAAGAAACATTTACTGAGTGACACTTTGTAGGGGGACATATACGGCACACATTAGCTAGTGTACCGTTAAGAAAGAGTCACTTCATTAATGAGATTGCAGTGAAGCTATACATAGCAATGAGATGCGCTAAGTTCTGCAGAGCAGATTGGTTGTGACAAACAGACTGATAATGAAATTTTAGCTCCGTTTTTCGACAGGCTCCGATTGCCTGACATGCTTCTCTTTCACAGTTGAATACCTCTGTTGCTGCTTTGTGTATCAGAAGTAATGATTTCTTTCAAATACACAGCTTGTAATTTCAAGTCTGTTTGTTCGGATCTTGCTGGTGACACAGATATACTTGTTCCTGTGTACTTCCCTCAAAGTTGCTCAGAGATAAAACGAGCACAGAAAACCAATTTTAAAAAACACCAAGCTTTCATGTTCCAAGTGCTAATTGGCTAAAGGAACGAATTAGAAAGTTCTGCAAAATACAATTGATCATTCTAAGGGTTTTGCCATCTAAAAATAACGTTCAATATTCCCAATGCCTTGCAAACGTGTTTCTCTACAGCCACTTTAATGCAATGTGATGACAGATCAACACATAATGTTGAGGCAGAGGCTAAAACATACGTGATTTTCTTTAAGAAAATACAAACGTGGATTAGAAATGGCCCAGCCAAAGTCAGACCAAAATCCACTAAAAATTCACAAGAATGACATTTGCAAATGATCCCCTCAAGCCTAGCTTGAGCTATGTTGCAGTGATTGAGACACTTTATCACCAAAATAGCCAAAGGCACTAAAGCTTACAGAGAGCAATGTTTGAAGATTGTTTTATTATTATTGAATCACATGATCCACTTTTAATCAATGAAAATGAGTTTAGTCAAATTAAATTGGTCTTGTTCTTTGTAGTTAATAAATTCTGAACTCTAATTTTTCAGATCGGTGAAAATCCTTCAGGACTTAAAGTACAGGTGGTAGCCATACAGTCTGTTGATCCAGATTTTTACTAACACTGTATATTGACCTTGAAAATATGCAACTCTAGGAAGCACATTGACTTCATAGCATATATTCAGTTTGAAAAGCTGGAATCCACCTATTTACCTGGGAATTTAACTATTTAGCAAAGTGAAACTTTTAAAAACTTTTTTTTTTTAAATTTTCTATTTGTTCACTAATTTTCTGTCTCGCTATGGTGCAGGCCATTTCAGTGAGGGAAAAATGCTTCCTGAAGCCCAAAAGGACTGTGTTTTGACCTTGGGCCACGAGTCGTGTTCTGTCAGCTCAAATCAAAGGCCACTCCAAATGATGTGTCGAATCCTTGAGAATCCTTGTCCAGCCGGCAGCTCTGATTAAGAATTTAACAAACATCAGCCTCGAACACCGGAGACAAGGCTGCAGAAGCTGACCATGTGGAATGGGAAGTTTAAAAAGTAAAGGATTGTGTGGACCCAAGGCACTCAAAGGGATGTCTAAAGCTCAAACTAGATATGTGGTAGATTAATTTAGGGAGCATGAAGTCAACCTTAAGTGCTCTCATGTTTAAATAGTCTTGCACATTTGTGTAGTAAGATGTAAAGTATGGTGCAGACTCCTTTTTCAACCGAGGGTCCTGTTTCTTGTAAACCTGTTAATCACCCTCCACTGCTGGGAACCGGTTGATGTAAACAAACATGGACCACTTACTATCAATTAAAGGTGGTCGATAATGTGAGGATAATTACTGTGAGCAGAATTGTTTTAATTTTCTTTTGCAAATTGATTCTTGACTTACATGTGTGATGGATCGTTTTTTGTTTTTTTTCCTGCAGCTATTCTGCAAACAGCTCTTTGTGCAACGGCTGCCGTTTTTAATGTGCTTTGTAAATAAATAAATATAATTAACACAACATTTATCTGCATCTCTGTCCATTAGCGGAAACTTGCATTTCCATTTTTACACAGTTGACGTTGCTAACCTGTCTGATTCTTTGCTCTCGCCCCCTAGCTGGCGTCGTGGGACTCCACTCGTGGCCTGAACGGAAGCCTCAAGGAGAACCGGATAGAGAGTAGCATGCAGGGAGTGACGCTCAAGATTGTGACATTACTGGTAAGCTGTGAAAAGTCACTGAATCTATAAACACTTTGGCTCAAGTCAACAAATGGGGTAAAAATGCTGTTAGGAAGGTAGGCACCAACATGCTTGAGGTTGAATTTTACATCAGAGGCTTATAGCTTTTGAATCACATTCTGAAAACTGGTTTCAATCATACTTTAAGAGGACAGTTAAACAATAAAACTCACAGCAGCTCACACATCTTAAGGGTTCATTTAGAAAGTCATCAGTACTTTAGAGGAAGGTGCATTGAAATGTGTTGATGATGTCCCATTTCAAATAATAATAAGATCATTGTGTGCGAGCAAACCGAGCATCAGCTCCACACACAGATTTTTTTTTCAATGCTGCAAAGAGAAGTCTTCACTTGTCTTGGAAATTAATGCATCTGAAAACGATTAAAGCACAGCAGCATCTCTAAAAGTAAGAGCGCGTTTTTTTTCACCTCTGAGTTTCTGCCCTCGTCCTTTACCTCAATCATTTCTCCTCCCCTCCATTTTTCCTCTTTTCACAGATGATTTACCTCCACCATATTTATTCACATAAGTTCTGCTCAGCGTTCTCCTGGCAGTGTCACTTCATCAAGTCATTTGCTCCTGCCCACTTTAACACCTCTCCTCTTTTCATGTTGCCCACCCCCGCCCCGTCCTGCTCGGCTCTTTTCACTCCACCTATTTAATACTGCCATGACACTTCCACTCATAAAGGGGAGCCATGGGGGGGAGCCAATAAATTTGAAATTACAATTTTCCCGTTGATGGACCATAGCAGTTGCCATGGTGTCATTTGTTATGGATCAACAGTTGCTAAGGAAACAATTTTACGAGGATGAAGTTTAATGGAGAACATACAGAAGCTTTTCATGAAGGCATCTTATGATGACTGATCGTGTCCTGCTTGAAGCTCTATATCCAACCATTAGATTTGTGTGCATCGAGATAAATGACGTGTCTGATTGAGTAAAAGCATCCTCAGTTCTCAGAGTCTGAGCATGAAACTCGGCCTCATAATATGGTTCTCAATATTTCTATGCCCAGACCGTAACATCATCGGAAACCTGCTTTTTAAAGTATCGACAATTATTCTGTTAAAAACAGGAGGAACCTTTTGTGATGGTGGCAGAAAACATTCTGGGTCAACCCAAACGATATAAAGGCTTTTCCATCGATGTCCTGGACGGCCTTGCCAAGATCCTGGGCTTCAAGTACGATATTTACCAAGTCGGCGATGGGAAGTACGGTTCGGCTCTCCCTAATGGGTCCTGGAATGGCATGATTGGAGAACTCATTGGCAAGGTCTGTACTTTTTGATTGCGTAAAAAGAGCAATTCCTATGCTTGTCTTGAAATTATATTTCTAAAAGTTAGTTCATTGTGGAGTTTAGGAAGAAGAGTCTGTATATTAAACCATCACTTCACAAGCTACTTCCATCTGGCTGCAAAATTGCAGTTCAACCTAAATAGAAACTGATACAATGACCTGCACTAAATAGCCCAAAAATTAACAGTTATTTGGTTTCCTGTTTTTTTTTTTCTACAGAAGAGTATTCAGAAAAAAATATGAGTGAATAAACAAGCAATTGGAGTCTGAGTTATTTCAGAAACACAAACATACTAAATTAACTACTAAACATCCTAAATGTCAAGAAAAAGCAAACTAATGCTCTTCAAATGCATGAGTTTTGCAAAAAAAAATAAAACAAAAAAAAACAGCTGCTTTTTATTTCATTATGAACAGCGAGCTGACTTGGCCGTATCTGCCATCACCATCACACCGGAGCGTGAGAGTGTAGTGGACTTCAGCAAGCGCTACCTGGACTATTCCGTGGGGATCCTGATGCGCAAGTCTGAGGAAAAGATCAACATTTTCTCTCTGCTTGCCCCATTCGACCTGGCCGTGTGGGCATGCATCGCAGCGGCTATACCTGTAGTGGGCATCATGATCTTCCTGCTCCGACGTATCCAAGCAGTCAGATGTCACAGCAGCACAGGCCATCCACCACCTCCCACCTCTACCTCACTTCAGAGCGCCATCTGGATCGTCTATGGGGCCTTTGTGCAGCAAGGTCAGTTAAATAAAAGTACAAGTAAATTCCTCCATCTTGTTTGAAAATGTGCAAAACCCCCTGGGTACTATAGTACTTTTAATACATATTATGCTGTTAGAATCTCATCCCAACCTACACAAATTCCTACAGATAGATTAAATTCACAACCAAGTATAAAGAATAAATTGCTTTGAGATCAGATGTTTGAACTTTGGCCCCTAGGGATCTAAATAGCTTTATTTCTGTTTTACAAAATTCCATGTTTTATCGAGTAAACGTATTAATCCACAAATGTATCTTATTAAATGGTGAAAGTATAATTTTTTATAGATTCACTCCAAAATAATCTAAATTTATTTATTTTTTTTAGGTTTCACTTATCAATAGATATTTTTATAATTTAAATAAAAATAGCCTTTATTCCTTTCAGATCAAAGTCTATTCTTAAAGATTCACTGTTCTGCAGTGCATATAAATGCAACACTGAAACTTATCAACGCAGATGAACATGTGAAGAGTTTTTATTTTGATAACAAACGTCTTTGTTCCACTGCACATTTCTAAGCCAATCAAGAAAAAATTTACTTTTTTTTAATGCAGAAAAGCTGATCTTTGACTTTACAAACACAGAGTGCCTGGCGGCTGCTGTCATGACCACTAAGGTACAATAACTTACAATAAACAGGAAGACGTATGTGGATGTCACCATGCAATAAATGCTGATTCAGTAAATGAAAAATTTCAGGCACTATGCCCACCTTAGCATTTTTAAAGGTGCCTTTCGGAAGGAGGACACCCCATCTTTACGTCTGGTGCCGATCCAGATACGTCTGGTCGCAACAAATGACCAATTTTAAAGCTCAGACTGCATCTATCAAAGTCTGGCGTCGTGCCTATGAACCTTTTTTAACTCAACACCCACTATATTTTAAGAGAAGCCAAATTCATGCCTTTTTATCTACATTCTTTTTCACCTTTTCATTTCGGGCTCATGTTCCAGCGGTGCCATTTTTTGACTCGAGTGCTTTTTTTTTTTTTTTTTTTTTTTTTGAAGGAGCTAGGGGGTTGATGTAGGATGCATTGATATGGATCTGACTGCTGATGCTTAGTGTGCCACTGTTAGTAGTTGAAACTTGGCATCCAAATATTCTGAGAAGTCCATAATGATATGCTGGCACTTAGCTGGTTTATGTTGTGTGTTTACCGCCAGATACCTAGTGTTACAGCAGTTTTTTGTTTGTTTTTATTTTCCAAGCAGGAACTGTTCTTTTGTTCCATATGGGGGTCATTCAGAGGTAGAAGATAATCCAAAGCATCCCAGGGACCAAATAGATATAAAACCTTTTTCATTATTATTGTTCAATCAGTTTATTTCATAGATAAAAGCGTGTTCCACTGAGGAGCATGGTTAGAGCCAATTAAATCTGCACATGGCCAATTCACATTCAGTAACCTTAACAAAAAAAAAAAAAAACAACTCAGAGCCATGTCTCATAAAAATGATTGATGCTATGGTATGATACATCTGACGAGACCTTTCGTTTTTCTTTTTTTTTTTTTTTGCTTTAAGCTTTCCTGAGGGTCCAGCTGTGCCGATTGTGACACTTTCAGACAAATATGTTTTCATCACTTTTCATATTCTTGAAACTTTCAGATGACATTTTCCATGGCTTTTCATTTTAGGATCAGGATTCAAGATGACATTTTTCCTTATACATTTCTAAATCCGCTTTTTATGCCTTTGCAGACAGCAGGCGACTACCACCAAAACTCAACAGCAACATTACTGTCATAAAATTCTTTGTCTGTCATAAAATGAGAGAAACAAGGATTTGAAATTTTAAGACATTAAGAAACATGAGCAATACTAGAGTTCCTACATGACAGGCAGTTATAGTATTTACACATATGCGAATTGTATGTTAAATCCACAGGCAGATATATAATAAAAGTAATTTTTTATTAGTATTCTTTTCAGTAAATCAGTTGAACTGAAGTTATGTCTAATTACAAACAGCGATCAGTGTTCATGGTGCCAAATAATAATAAAAAAGCAAAACCCAAATGTGATTTTTCAGAAATTTCATTCATATGTAGGAGGACCAAAAAGTAAATATTTTCCTCCAAATACCGAGATGCTATCCCGTTGCTGCAGTGTGCAATCTTCACACTGCAGGTTGTCCTGGATGCCTTCCAAAAATAGGGTACTCTCGGCTACGAAGCTTATTGTTCAAGCTGAACAGCTCAAGCTGGATGTTAGTGGAAAGCTGAGTGGAAGGAGAAATGTGAACTGAAAAAAGTTCAATAGCAATGAGGACAGCTTCCAGGTTGAGGATAGGGAGGTTCACTCCATTCAAAAGTTTGGAAAAGACTCACAAGGCATGGACTGTCAATGCTTAATGAGCAACAACACAGAGACATGACCTGGACTACCACTGTTGCAGGCCTTTGGTCTAAAGTGAACTTAGTCATCTATTTTTAAAAATCAAGGTGGCAGATTCTGGAGAATTCACGTTGTTTGAGTTTGAATGAGCAGTTTCCACAGTCAGTGATGATTTAGGGGGCTATGTTATCTGTTTGTATTGGTCCACTATGTTTTATCAGCTCCAAAGTCAGCACAGGTATCCACCAGAAAATGCAGACATGTAAATTGTAAACATAGTTAACAGAAATAAACATTAGCAGTATCAATATGTCTGTAAACATTTGAGTTCCACTAATTGACTTAAATTGCTAAAACTTTTCAACAATATTTTTAATTTAAAGATATGTACAAATGTGACCACAAATGAGAGAACCATTTAAAAATCTAAGCACATTAGAGTCCAATACAACTGCAATAAAAAAAATGCAATAAAAAATCCACTACATATAAAATCTATATGCCCCTGCCACCATCACAACATATAAGCCGAAATAAATCAGACTTCAAGACCCCCGATAAAAATGAAGTACAGTTTGGGCTGCATTTAAGTTTGTTGTTCACCTCTATTTCACATCTGTTGTCTTGGTTCAGTGCTGACATTTACTCCAAATCAGATATTGGAGCCATTTCAGCCCAAGTGGAATGTTCTGTCAGTCAATAGAAAAGCAATCTTAGGATTAGTTGAAGATCATTGCTTTGAAATGGTTTATTACCATTGTTTCATGTTTCAAATAATAAACTTGATGTCTTTATTTCTGAGTTGTGAAAACTTTGAATTTTCATATTGATATTTATATCTAAGCCTTAATTTGGTCAAAAAAAGGCAATATCTGTCACCGCTGCTGGAGGGGATGTTTTATCACCCCGTTTACAATCTGTAAAAATGGGATATGCATTTCTGGGTGGGCTTGTAAACCACTTTCATCTCAACCCTGCAGGCAGCGACTCAATTCTGGGCTCAGTGGCTCTGCGTATCGTCATGGGCAGCTGGTGGCTTTTCACCCTCATCGTGTGTTCGTCCTACACAGCGAACCTGGCTGCCTACCTCACTGTATCACGCATGGACAATGCAGTCAGGTAAAACATCTTTTTTTTTTTTTTTTTTTCTCCCACAATATTTGAAAATATTTTGTTTCCAAACACTGGGGAATTTCATTCAAACTTGGCGATCATGTGAATTTGAATCTCTGCATATCTCTAGAGATGTGTTATCGACTGGGTACAGCTTGACTTTTCTTTCTTCTCAGCTCCAGTGCATTTTTTTTTCCTTCAGATTTCCAATACTTGAACTTGCGGTACACATGTAACAGCTTTGGTTAAAGATTTATCTACTGGGATCAGCTTCTTTTTCTATAAAGCGCCTTTAATTTTTGACCTCCTGCATAACAACCGAGCGTTTCTCAGTCTAAATGTTATCTGCCAGTGAATCCAATTTGGCCTGATGTCCTTCTTGCTCTCTAAAGAATGGGTAGAAAGACATTTGATTGCATCGGTTCTGTCTATTGTTGAACAAACAGCCACATGGAGATATGTCGGCAGACTGAGCGAATGCTGAGCAGCACATAGCTCACCTGTGACAACACATGAGAGCAGCTGTTTTTAAAATGGCATCTGTGGGAGACTTTTCCTGTGGTATGTTTCATGCATTTTAAAGGACACCACCCCACGGCAGTTGAAAATATTTGAGCAGGCAGACATACTGCAGCTGGACTTTGTTCGCTTATAAAAATGTATTAAGAACTAGCAACCTATGATTCACCTGTCATCTGGGGTGATTGTTGAAAAATTATATATAACTAAACACAATGAAACTGGAGAACTGAACAGGTTTCTTACATGTTTTTGGTGTGAATTTCCATAGAAATCACACCAAATTGGATTCACTGGCAGAAAACCATATTTTCCAAATTGTCAGTCCTTTCAGCTGTTTTAAGTAACGACTGAAAATTCAACAAGGAAGGAAGTCAGGCAACTGATGTGTTGCCCTGCAATGTATCTGATGTGTGTTACTCTTTGGGAAAACATTTACATTAAAGCTAATTATAGTTTCCCCAGGGAAAGCATTTCTATTGAAGATGATTATAGTGGTTATCTCCATGGGAAAAAGCACAGGGCTTCAGCACTTTATAGCTCACAAATTTTAGCTAACCAAGCAACTGAAATACACACCCTGGCCACTTTTTTTATATAAAATTTGCAATTACCAGTTGGGTTATTGTGATTCTTTCTGACATCTTTCCAAAAACACATGAAGCATTTTCCTGAAGCCTTTTTTTTTGCACATATGAGCATGACAGCATTACACAGTTTATAACACTTGCCGCCCGCTCTACCCCTGCACCACCGTGGCAGCCGGTTTTCCATTTCTAATACAAAAAACAAAGAAAATGTTCACAGTTTTGTCATAATGGTGTGTCTGATAAAAGTTTTATCAGTTGATTGATTAATGTAACTACAATTTGGAATAAGGCTGTAACATAAAATTTTGGAAAAAGTGAATTGGTGCGATTATTTTCTGGATGCACTCTGACTTATTTCAAAAGATCTAAAACGTAATGGTTGTGTTTTGGCTTTCGCCCCTTTCTTAGAGCTTCACTTTCAAAAACTTCAAAGATGTAAATAAAGGTCAGGCACTGTGTAATCGTTCTTTGAGGTTGGCAGCTGTTTTTTGGGAGAGGTTTGTGAAGTTTGAACCATAATCAACTAAGGGACAGATGGTACAGAAACTCTGCAAACACACTGATTCTTCCATTCTCATTCTTCTAGACAACACAGTACACAGATGCAGAGAGACAATTCCAGTGAGGATGTAGTGAGAAGAATATTTTTCAAAGTCAAGGATACAGTCCAAGATGATGCAGCAAATCAGATAAAATTAACACATTTTAGGAACAAGGTACAAGAAATTGGGTAAGAAGTGCTGGTACCTTTGGCTTAGAAAAACAAAAACTGAATCAAAATTTTTCAGTTCAGAGCAGAATACTATCAGGTTTTTTTTTTTTTTTTTTTACATATGTGCCTTACAATACACTGGTTGCAGCATTTTGAAATGACATTTTCATTGTATTGTTTGGACACATAATTAAAACTATATTGCACCAATTCGTTATGCAAGAATGAAAAACATGCACTGGCTTTTCTGCTTTGATTTTTGAAGGTGAGCTCCTTAGTTTGAAGATGAACGGAAGACTGTTTTAGTGAGTTGCTTAATTTGAGAAGTAAAACATAAGAACTTAATAGCCTCGATTGCCTTTCATCTTATCTTGTCAGTTTGAACTATAAAATTGGATACAGATTGTATTTGTTTCAGCATCAAGAACCAGCATCAAGATGTTGGTTTTACCTGAATTTAGGAAAAAAAAAAATTGCATCATCCGTGTTCATCCACTCAGTGTCAAAGACAAATTTGTAACCTCAGTCTCAACTGGTTTCATTGACAGGTACAACTGGGAAATGTCAGTCTAATATTTCATTCTTCTTGACAATATTGTCCAAGATAGTGGACAAACTATTTGATCAAAACCAAAACCAATGATCAATAGCATAATTAAACAAACAAAAAAACATTTTTGATTAGAATAGGGTACAAAAAACAGAGTAGCTGTAGTGGCACCAGTGATGGATATGAATTCTGCAATATCAAGGGGAATAAAATGTTTTAGAGAGGAGTTAAGGATTTTGACAATTTTCAGAAAGCATGTGTCAGGAATAAGAACTGCACAAACAGTGCAGAGGGAACCATTCTTCCTAAATAGTACATTTTATGAGTAAAGAACTCCATAAAATCTTTACAGCTAAGCCCAGAAAGAATAATTTGTCTTCAAATGAATTGTGGCTTTGAATTAATTTTGCCATAGCTCTAAAGGTGAACTTTGGATTGGTCTGATCATTGTCTATAAGCTGACTGTCTGTTAGTCTAATTTATGACTTGTAATCCAGTAAGAATCTTATTATTTTTACTGTTTTTTAACCAGTGTTGGTTAATTATTTATGAATCATTTCATAAATAATGAAACTAAAATCATGGCTAACTGTGTATTCCCAACAATGATAATCTAACATATAAGTAAATATTGGAAACATACACAAAGGGTTTTTTTTTTGTTTTGTTTTTTTAAGAACCCCTTCATACAGAGTAAAATAGAGCTGTAAACTGGAGTTTGTTAGTTGTCATTCAAACTCATTTGAGCCGATTTAAGAAATAATGGAGCAATTATTGGGTGGGTTGCCAGTTCAAATCCCAGCTCTGTCCGTGTTAGTTGTGTCCTGGGGCACTTGGTGGTCAGAAGGTCAGGTGGCACCAGAGCATGACAGCCTCACTTCTGACAGTCTGCTTCAGGACAGCTGTGGCTACAAAGTAGCCATGAGCATGTAAATGTGTGCATGAAAGGGTGAATGACTGAATGTAGTGTGAAGCGCTTTGGGGTCACAGGTCACAATGTTAAGTTAAATCTATTAAGTGATAGTGATATAAAGGTTCCCAGCACACAGAGTAAATTTTTTCTGTTAACGGAGTAGGAGACGTTTTATCGGTCATCATTGATTTAGCTTCTTGTACAAAAAAAAAAAAAAAAGCCTGAAACTTTTCACTACCAATTTTATATAAACGAACCTTACCTTTTTCCCTCATTTCATCTTGCTGTGTGAGACTGTTCTGAGTTTGTTAGAGATGCAGATTAGAGGGAATATCAAATTGTATACATTAAAAAAATCGTATCCAGCCAAAAACAGACACACTCCATGTAAGCTGGTAGATAAAATTCATCCATACAGAGAAAACGGCTGAATTGAAGAATTCAGTTTTCACAATACTTTTTATTTAAGACTGTGGCTCTACTTCAATATTGCTTGCATAACTAAAGATATGCAACTCATTACAATCTGATGGTGAATGCTGAAAAGGTAGATATGAAAGAAGGCACGGCCGACATGAATTTCTCATTGTGCTCTGATTATTTGAACAAAGGTTATTATTTGAACAGTTCTGTTATTTTATCTATTTATCCATCCAAGTATGTAGTCAGAAGGGTAATTTTATGCTTGGCATTTAAATGAAATATTTGTAAGTATCCATGAGCAGCTGACGATAAAATATTAAAACAAATAAATTAATTAATGCCAGCTGGTTAGTCACTGGTCATTTGAATTGATAGTTAAATTAACATTTGTTTGGACATTTCTATGAATAAAGATTGCCTCATAGAGATATAAGCAACTTGTTTTTTGTAGGAAAAATCTGTGCACCTCAACAAATGATCAATGGCCTTTGCAGATATAGAACTAAATTTATGTCCATGTGTAACTCTCAGAGGTTAAAAAAAAATAAATAAAAATCTGTTTTAGTTGCATTTTATTTTTTCAGCTAATGTAATTGTATAAATTTTTCAGAAAAAATGTTGGAAAACCCTCACTGGCATAAAAACAATCAAACTCTTTTTAGAATTACTAATCAGCTTGTTGCATCTTTTTGCATTTTTCTTCGGGTATTTCAATCACTTGATTTTTTGCCAATAAGCTCCAAGTGAAAGGTTGCCTTGCCATCACCCTAATCTTACTTGCTTTCACATATTCTCTACTGGATTCAGATCTGGACTCTGACTAGAACTAGAACTCAGTATTCTAGTCTGATAAACATGTTGATTAAATGAAAACGTTATCTATCCATGAAGTTCTTTAAAAAGGAAAACCACATTGTGCCAACATGCAACTACGTGTTGACATATGAAAATACTATTTAGAGAAACCTACTGGTGCTTTAATACTTTTCTTTTTTGCCCCTAAATAAGGTCATTTCAGGACCTTTCCAAACAAGTGGACCTTGCCTATGGGACAGTGCGAGACTCAGCTGTGTACGAATATTTCCATGCTAAAGGCACCAACCCCTTGGAGCAGGACAGCACGTTTGCTGAACTCTGGAAGGTTGTCAACAAGAACAACGGCTTTGATAACTCTGTTTCAAGTCCATCAGAGGGCATCAAAAAGGTAAGAGTTGATGGTGGCTGTTAAATCCTGGAGAACCAACTTGTGGCGTACCATTAATCCTACAATTTAAAAAATCTCTTCCAAAATCTAAGTGTAAGAAACATAACAGGCCACCTTTAGTTATGTGTAATATTTCAACATGACAAAACAGATGTTTATATGTTAAGAAAATAATGTAAATGTCTGCAAATATTGAAAAAACAGACACTAGTTAAACAATTAAATCTCTTTAATATAAACAAAGCAGACTGCATATGATTAGACATCTTGACTTAACTGGATTGCATTTATAGTAACATTATGACACAAACGTTTCCTTAACTTCAAACTTTGTGTAACTGAATGGCATGTTCTAATTCTGACTTTTAATTGACAGTAATAATTTAAGCATGTGCAAATGTACTGTAAGTTGATTGTTTGCCCTGCGAAGATGTACAAGCACCATTGGGGCTGAACTCTGGCCATTTTTAAGCGGACAAAAAAAGAGAATTAAACTTAGACTGTGGCTAGAAAATCCAATTTTGTGTCTTGCATTATTCTTTCAGCAGAGAATTTGGAAAAAAAGAATTTCAGCAATTCAACGTTTACTGTTTTCTTTTCTTTATAAAACATTTTGAATATTTAGATCTAATTGTGTTTCCTACTAAAGACAACTCAGTGCACTGCCCCTCTAGCAATGCAAATTGAATCAAGGACAAAGTAAAAGCATGATTCTGTTTTATTTATTTATTCTTTTTTTAAAAAAAAAGATAAGGGCAATAGAGGGTAGGTGGATGTAATTAAACAACCTTGCTGATGCCCGAGTAGAATACAGTCGGATAGGAACTAATACAAAATGTTAATTGAGTCATTAGTACTCAAATCTATTGCTTTGCTTTTATTTTTTAATGAAATTTAAATCTGTTCTAAATCCATTCTGCAATTCTAAACTATGCTATTTAATGAATGAAACGATGCCTGTTGACGCAATGGAGTCTATGTCTGCGATGCCTTGCTACGAACATGCTGTTATGTGATTACCATGTTCCTGTCTCTTGCGTGGGTGTTGTGGAAACTGTTTCAAATGCACAGGCAAAGCGGGAGTCGTACGCCTTTCTGTGGGACATGGCGGTGGTGGAGTATGCTGCTCTGACAGATGACGACTGCACACTGACTATAGCAGGAAACAGCATGAGCACCAGAGGCTACGGCATGGCCCTGCAACACGGCAGTCCGTACAGAGACCTCTTCTCTCAGAAGTATGTACCCTCGTAATTGTTTCATGCCGTCCCACATCAATCCAATAAGAATTAATCTGGTAGATAAGGCAGTGGTTTTTAATCATTCAAACAAAAGACTTTTGGCATTTTTGAATTTATGACTGAAACTGCCACCTGAAATAAAAACATCCACACAATTCTTAATAAAAATTTTGCTATTTTTTTTAAACTGCAGTTTAATATATTTGCTACAATCAAAAATACTTTAACTGAAAAAAGTGATTTTCTATTACAGAAATTAAATACTTCAAGACAGACCAGCAGTTCTGTTTATTATGTCCACACAAAGTGAACCTTGATTTATTTTGAATATATAGCACAGAAACTGTATGTCCAAACAAGATGCTTGTTTGGATGCTTTTCTCTAACTACCAAAACAAAATGCCTGATTTTAGATATGATTTATTTACACAGGAAAGCTTGATGGGAAAGTCTTTGAACAAGCAATAAGTAAAATATTACATACAAACAAAAAATGCAGAGGATATAAACAAATCAGACATCACAAACATTACAGCTTATTTTGCTCATCAATTGGAAAATAGAAAATGTATGTTATGAATTGTATGTTGCTAATGACTGAGGTGAGATTATGTGTCAACATGTTGTGAAAGTTTTCATGTTTTGGAACATGAGAGGTGAATGGGAAGAGAAACTACTGTAATAAATATCCTTTATGAAGACAAGCGCTCTAACACCTGAGCCACATATGGCTCCAATCTGGAGGCATTGAAAGGTGTGGATAGAATACCGATATTACACTGAACATGTGATTTCCTAGACCTGCCATTAATATATGTTGCATAGTATTTTTAGGTAGATCTTCCAAATACACAATCGGGACAACAGTGTTTCTTTAATCTGTGGATTTTTACCTTAAATACGAAGATTAATCACTGATTAAAAAGAAACTGAATGCGTGTGAACATTTAAAATCAGGTGGACATAATCATGTATAATCACCTATTATGCATTATGTCATTTTGTTCAAAAAAGGACAAAGCTTTATTATGTGTATATGTGCTTGTACTGTAACTTGGAAGCCATGCAGGATAGGATCTTCTTGTTTTTACTGAATGTGAAATAAAAACCTAACTAAAAAAAAAGAGACTCCACTATATGTGATAGTTTCACTCAGGCAGATATAGCTGTAGAAATTAAGCATATGTATGCTAGCTGATTTTCTGAACAGCATTTGGAATCATTTAGAGATGCATGAGCCAATCATATTGTGGTAGAAGATCAAAAGAACATCAATTAATCATTCATGTATTAAATTCTTATAAAAGCTGTCCAACACTGTGAAATTATTAGTTCTTATGCATGAATGTTTATTCATCAGTATGGAATTAAATCAGATATCTTTTAAAAATAATAATGAATTAAAACCTGATCTCTTACATACAGGTAGGTTCAATAAATTATGATACATCTAAAAATTGGTAATTCATTTTATTTAGATTCAATGCACAGCAAGGTTTTTGTCATTTTCTCCAATAAAGAAACAATAAAATGATTTTAAACTCCAATGGGCATTTGCCAAGTTCTGCACTGAAATGACATCAGCATCTTCATAAAAATTTGTCAGCAAAGGGAAACTGGGGACTAAACTGTTGTAAAGTTTACACGCAGAGACTGCTGTGCTCACTTAAAACATGATTAAACCCAATGAAACGTCACTGATCATTGAACGCGCCCACTGGACCTCTAGCCTATGTGCCTTTCAATTCTTCCTCCAAAACATGATGGGTTTGTGTGTGCTTGCCCATGAAGGACTAACTCCAGCTGCAATTCACACTATGCAAATTTCTAAACAGTTGTGTTTGCTTTGCTTCACAGCTCTGTAAAATCTGCAGTCACCCATGTCCTTTTTGACCCACTATTCCTTCTACTCCACTCTGAAGAGCCAGCTTCTTCAGCAGTGACCTTTTGTAGCCCTCCATCCTAGTTTGGGGGGGATCTTGGGGGAAGGATTGGGAAATTGGTTTTCCTTCCCAAAAAAGACCAAAAGATCACATTTCTGCTTTAAGAAAAAGCAAGTCTAATGGTCACAACTCTAATTCTAATTAAATTGAGTTCTTATGAGCTGTGAGGCATAACTAAAATTAACAGTAATAATGTTTATTCTAATGTGTTTCACCTTTTAATTCAATCTCTGGCATAAATTAACTACTTAATGAAATGCACCAGTAATACTATTCTAGTAAAGTTATTATAGGTGTATGATATTCTATCCTCCAGTTCTACCAATGTTTTGAACCTGAAAGCAAACATTGTATTTCATGCTTTCATTATTTATGATGTAGTATAAAATGAGACAAAATACTCTGGTAATTAAATGTATCTCATCACAACATCTAATTCTGAATTAATAAATAGGAAAACTAGCAAAGTCCATATACCACTCACTTCTAAAATGGCTTCCTAATTACAGTTGAACTAAACCGCTCATCTTGCCTCCAGCTCAACTTTTTCCTTCTATTTTTTGTGCTCTTATAGATTAACTGTATAACTTACAGTTTGTGAGTTTGTAGCAGCATTTAAGTGTCATTATCATGCAACAGCACCTCCGTACCCTTCATTGTTTTTTTCCCCTCAAAAACTGGGCTTTTAGATCTTGTTTAAAATCAATCATTATGTTTTGCACTCTGCTGCTGTAAACTAAAACCTGCAGTGTTTAATAGCACTTTACCGTATATGGGTTTTTAATGATCTTACAGTCAATGCAAATGGATACCATTAGTGGTGCTGCATTTTTCCTTATTAGATTTATTTAATGAGCTGTGCGATTTAATTATTGTTACATAATAATAGTGTGGTAATTGTTCTGATCTGCCCAAGAATTATTTTCTAAATTTCTTTCATGTTTTGTCCATAAAAAGTTGCTAATTATCAATTACCTGCTCTGCTTTTCATTGCATCTGATGGATTTGCCGGCTGTCCTGCAGCGATGCACGTCAAAGGCAAAAAGGGTCTGAAACCAATCTCTTTTTCCTCTCTGCAGGATTTTGGAGCTGCAGGAAAAAGGCGATCTAGACATCCTCAAACAAAAATGGTGGCCAAAGAAAGGCCGCTGTGACCTGCAGAGCCATACAGATGCACAGCCAGAAGGACGAGCGTTGCGTCTCCACAGCTTTGCCGGCGTATTTTGTATCTTAGCCGCCGGTCTTCTGCTCGCCCTCCTGGTGGCGGCACTGGAAACCTTGTGGAACAGCAACCACTGCCGGAGAGAGCAGCCCAAAGAGGTGACCACCGACAGCTCGTCGGGCCAAGCCCTGCTAAACCAGAACCGGGCCATGGTGGTCACCACGGGTCCCCCTGCCCCATCAAGGCCTCGGTCAAGACCCAGGCCGCCGGGCCCCCCGGTCCTGCCCAGGGATGCCACTGCCACACTCTACTTTATGGATCCAGCAGGCGGTGACGCCAGCCCCGATTTAGTAGAGCTTCAGTACACCCAGTTATAATAGGTGTGCCCTTGGTGATAGTTCAGACATCAATTTGCTCATTCCTTCTCATGTCAGGAAAGAGGCGGGGTGCTCAGGCGGGGACTTCTGAGGCTTCTCTCATGCTGACACTTCAGAGAAATGATGATTGGTTTTACAAAAATCTGTCACTGGTGCTCATGTGGGAGAAGCTGTGAAGACAAAAGTATACATTGTATTGCTAATTCAGAATCACAAACTGAAATTGTACTCTGAGTCGATAAGCGCTTCAGTTGTGCAATAGCTCTCTTTAGCTAATCCATTCAAGTCTTAACGCTTTAGAGCTCTGCCTTTATTTTGCTGCAGTGAACTGGGCAGCCCCTCTGCATGAGGCGTCCAGACAACTAAGGCTTGACATGGATCCCTAAACTAAAGTGTGAGCCTTCACCAGCCTGTTTGACTCCACAGTCCAACAATACTGGATGAAAACACCCATTTAAGGCCCAGTCCCATGACAGAAACAGGAACAAATTATAAAGCACTTTGATGCCAACAGGAACATGAGTTATTGCGGTTAACATCTAGTTCAGAGTTTGCGTGCATCTCTGCTTTTGTAACTGCAAATTGTTGCCATCTGAAGTTCAAAAGCTGCAATATTTGCAGAATACTAGTTGTAGTAATTTCGTTCGGAGGCATGTTGAGGTGTTTCCACCCAACATCATTCTTTGTTTGAAGTCCTATTCATTGTGAGGCTGAAGTTTAAGGCAGAAACCGAACAAACAAAGGAAAGAACCGAGAAAGGAGCAGAGAAATGAGGGATAATTAACAATAAAAAAGTCCAATATGTTGCAGGCGATTTCTAAAGCTCTGTTCATAACAGCTATATCTACACAATGTTCACGTTGACAACACTGGCTAAAGGGGATTCATGTTTCTCATTTATTTCTCTACATGCTTGCTATTACTGCCAGGGCTGCCAGAAAAAAAAAACAAAAACAAAAAAAAACACTTTGCCAAAATGTCTAATATTCCTCTAGGATTTGACAGATTAGTTTTTACAATAATCTTTCACAATGATTGCACCTTATAATGTAGTATGCAAATGCATATTTTCAGTTTAAGTCAAATATGTATTAAGCAAAAGCTCCAGCATAACAAAAATGTATTAAATAAGTAAATATTTATGGTTTCACAAAACAATCTTGAATATTCAGAATAACAAATATGATGAGATTCATCGCAAAAATAAACAAAAGTACACTTTTGTTCAATCATACTTCTCTCCAAAGGAATGAGAATGAAGGTTGTTCATGTTTTATCCTTTGGTTTCTTTTAATTCCCATAAGGGTTGCAAATCTGTTCAAAACAGACATATGGAAAAACACACAGTGACTATCATATATAGGGATATTGTTCATCAGAACAATTTTATACAGCTTATTTTTCAAGCCTGTAGAGAATGAACATATTGTATTCAAAGGATTTGGTTCGGGTTCAGATTTATTGGTGGCACCATGGATAGTGTGTAGAGACAGTGAAAACTGTTTTAAATGAAAATCTACAAAACCATTTAAAGGGATCAGCCAAAGGGTTTTACATCACTGAAAATGTTTTTTTTTTTTTTTTTTTCCCTGGCATTACTTGGACAGGAAAGGAAAACAAATCCATAGCACTAATAATCTGTGAAATAAGATGCTACTGGAGATTTATGTCAGAATCAAGACTGACTCTCTTCGAGACTGACTAAGTTAGAGCAATAGCTCAGTTTTATGCTTTTATCCTAAAAGATATCTACTTAGCAATCTTACCTGCAAAATAAATTCCATAATTCAAGAGCAGCAAACCTTTTTGCGCTCCCTAACATTTAATGTACGGCCGAATGTTAGCCTTTTAATGGTACTTGGCAACGTTTTTGTCTCTGAGCCGATCGTAGAAAAGAAAGTACTGAGATAAATCAACTCTACAGAACCAAGATGTCTGCGACCTTTGACATTTTAAAATGCAAAAAAGGCTTTAAAGTACAACTAAGTAACACAACATTTCATCAGTATTATACCTAACTCACTCACTAGAGATTTCTCCAAGATTCAGTCAAAATAATAAAAAGAGAACAGAGCATTATTCTTGAATACAATAAATATGGGGTAAATTGTAAAAATAAGTTGTGTATCTGGATCGGGGTGTGGCTGACATACTCCTGTACAGTAGGATTTTCACTAAGTCCTCCTGAAGCTGTCAAAGTTTTTAGAGAATGATTTGTACAAAAAAAAAAAAGTAAATACAACAAAGCTGAAGATTCGCCAGTGAGACCTTTGAGGTATGGATAGAACCAAAGTTGTAGAAAGACAGTTTTTTATTTATTTTTTATTTATTTTTATTTTTTTTCCAAAAAACATTTCTCAATTTTATAATCTTAAGGCCATTACAATTTTTTTTTTTAGGATAGACCCACCTTCTGGTTTTAAGATCATAATGGTTGTAAAAAGCATTAGATGGTACACACGATTGCAGTGCAATGGTAATAGTTTACTTAATTTTTTGTTTGTTTGTTTGTTTCCAGTTGGTCACTGATTAGTGTGGACACAATCTGATCAATAGTTTATGAAAATGTCAAACTTCTTTCTTTTTTTTAAGACATATGACATGAAAATAGTGGAAGAGGCTGAGAGTTTTGATTCACTTCGAGAACAACCCAAAATACCAAACTGGTTGTTTTTAGTCGATTGGTCACTGCAGGCCATTAGGGCAGGGCAGGGCAGGGCAGGGGGCTGGGCAGGAGTGCACATCATCCATTATTTCATCTCATAGTCTGTCCCGTGTCTGACCGTCTTGTTTTGTTTGACTTAGATGGGTGCATGAGTAGGAAAAAAAGAAAATGAATTATGAAAACACTTATTGGTCAATCTGTCTCAAACAGTTGCATTCTTTGTCTGGCTTCATCTCCCAACTAATAGGAATGTGTAAGCCATTTTAAAACCAAGTTATTGTTTTATAGAATTAGAGGGGTGTGGTGAAATGTGCTGGCACAAGACTTTTTAATCTCAAAACATAACAAAATTTCAAAGTTCAAAGTTAAGTTTGTTTTGCAAACTGCTATCCAGCTGCTTTCATCCCCAGATAGTAAAATGTGTTTCATCCTGTACAGCCTGTAAAATCTAGTTCTAAAACTCAATTTTAAAGTGATTCGTAAACTATATCTTTGTGTTGATTGTCCGCTAACAAACAACTCCTTGGGCTGAGAAACACTTATGAGAGCATTTTATTTCTTTTTTGCTTGTTTTGAGCATTTTCAGCTCTTGAATAGAGGCTGACTAAATGAGAAAAGTTAGTCATTTGTTGTGACTAAAGGTTTTCACAATTGGCTAACCAAAGTTAGCTTTGGTACTTGGTGCTAAATAGAGTCATATCAAAGATTCCAACAGAAGATTGCATTTTTTCCTTTCAGTCAAAATCTGAAATTACAGGAATGATCAAATTGGATGACTGCTAGAAAGAAAGAAAAAGTATGTCATTGGTCAGACCTTCTTTTCACCGACAGGCCCTGTTGAAATTCTACCAAAAAAATCTACTTCAATAACAAAAAGCCGGGAAGAGACAAGATCAAGCACAACTGCATAGGAAAGCGATGACCAGGATAAAAATAAATACCAGTCAAACCTTTTTTTAAAATTATTATTATTATTTTACTATCTTAGTATTGCTAAACTCTTGTCTAGATCTCATGAGAACGACATCATGCATCATCTTGTAAGCTAGATGCATCATCACACTCCTACCAAGAAATGAATATTAAGTTACCTTATTCAAAGGTTTAAATGTGCCTCTGCATTTATGTGTTGCATTGGAATCAGTGTTGTGACCAGATGATTCTGACTGGACGCGTCTCGCCTCACGGTCAACCAATTATGCAAAGCAAATTAAAGCCCAATGCATAAAGCAACACATTTAAATCCAACTCAAATTGGAGATATTTTGTGACAGTAACTTAGTTTTATTATTGAAAACTCAGAATAGTGACTTAAATATCAAAGTAAAAAATCTGTATGAAAAAAGCTGGAATAGACATATTTCAGCATCTTTCAAACTTGCATGGAGAATGCATGTTCTTATGCTGGTAGAATAGACTGCACTACGTGTATTTAGAAGTAAAGTTGAAAAGGAGGCCTGCTGTAACAAATCTCTTTTTTCATTCTGCATTTTCATTTCATTTCCCCTAACCTTTTTTTCCTCTCCAACTTGGCATTTATTTTCACTTTTATTCATCATCCCCCTCCTAAATAACATCCCTGCTCTTTCTGTTCCAATAAATTCTCCATACACAATTCTTCCTTTTATTCTTCATCCACTCTTTGGCACTGCCCTCCCTTCCATCCATCTTTAGGACAAAGAGGTGAACCTGGAACAGGTCCACCAGCGTTTGAACAGCCTCCTGGATGAGGACCTTGCCCACAAGCATCTGCCAGGTCAGTCAATCGAGATCTCCGCCCTTGACATCGGCAGCATCCAGCCCAGTCAGTCTCTGGAGGCCTTGTCGGTTCGAGACTACCCATCACACCGCGGGCCCCCGCCTCTGTCCGTGACCACCTTCCTCCGGGAGAGCCACGGGGCAGGAAGGACACTGGGAGCAGCCGCTGGCAGGACCTTGCCCCTGCCGCTTAGCAGCGCCACGATGCCCTCTATCCGGTGCAAACACAGAGCTCCCAATGGGGGTCTCTTCCGGCAGAGCCCAGTCAAGACACCCATGCCATTGTCCTACCAACCAGTGCCAGGAGGACCCATCCCAGAAGCCAGAGAGCCCAGCCACGGGACGTCTATTTGAGTATGACGAACGTTCACAAACACTCGAGCTCAAACAGAAGAGACCAGAGATAACTGGAGTGCCTACAATATGAGGAGATATAAATAAACATTACAAAGGATTTTTATTACCAGTTGAGATGAAGACACGACAGGACTCTAAGACTTTAATGTAGATATTTGTAAGTACAAATAAAAAAAACATTAAAAATGTATTTTGAATATTCTTCACAGTTGAGTTTAAAAAAAAAAACAACTAAAAGATTGAAAAAAAAAAACGACTGTTCAAATGGCTTTGTAAATTTTGTTCTCAATGAATAAAGGTGACAATTCTTTGTGGTTGTTTTCTAAGTGCCAAGTTTAAAGATGTTTTCTTTCAGATCAACATTAACAGATTGTACTGTGAGAATACATAGGGGAAAAAATGACATTTCACAATACATGGGAAGAGTTGATTTTGTTTAATAAAAATAAAAAATAAAAACTAACACTAAATGACCAAACTGTGTGTTTGAATAAATATCTCAAAACAGCAGTGCGCTGGTACAGTATCTGGGAACTGGGATTAAGAGAATAGTTTTGTAATGTGTCTTGCATTCTCTGAGTCTGGAGGAAAATAGGTCATTTGCAGGACTCTGGGGAATTATCTACACAAGGAGGAGGCAATTAAGCCATTTTGTTGCAGTGTTTTTTGTACCTGTGGCACATCTAAAAACTGCAGGACACTGGAGGTTGACACCTGTGTCTTAAGTATTTTGTCTACAATTTGTGTACATGTATTGACCAATGATGAGAGCACATTAACAGAAAAGCAAACTTTCCACAGAAAAAAAAAAAAAAAAAATCTGATCCAAAAAAAGATGCAGGTATTTCATATATCTGCAGAGAAAGTACAATATCCATATCTATCTCTACTAGTTGGAGCCAACTATCGTTGTAACAAAAGAAAACAATATTAATAGATACATTGCCAATGTTTAATGCAATCAATATCAACTGATGTTCTCACTTGATGCCTTTACAATCCCTTCACATGCAGTCCAATTTGGCAAAACATTCAGCAGAAAAAATCAAAACAAAACTAATATTTCAAGATTGAGGACAACTGTTCACACTCCCACCACTCAAAGCATGGCGCCAATATGAAGAAAATGCAACCTGGTGCCAGAGGCAGCAGGAGGGACTCACATGGACCTGGCTGTTGGGAAAGCAAACACTAGCTGAGGACATCGCAGCTCTGTGTCACCATGTCTCCATACAAGGGTACTCGGAAAGAAATGGAACAAAATGTGTCACAAAGGTTAGAAAGTAAACTTTACAATCAAATTGAGACATTTTCTACCAAAGATCTGCAGCAAAGATCTGAAAAGAAAAATGTCTACTCCACCGTTCGCTTGTCTGAAAGCGGGTCACAGAGGTAACCGATATGGCAATTTTCTCTCAGAATTGTTTACTTAAATGACTTGATTTCAAGTGAGGAAAATCTTTTAAGTACCTCGTCACTTATTTTTAGAATACCCATTACCCGTCTCCCGAAACACAGTAAACGATTGGCGAGGTCACACACAGCTGAGAGAGTTCAGTGTTCCCTCCAGCCATCATGTACGTGACAAAGGTAGAGAGATGCTCTTTGATAAAACCGTCCTCGCAACTCTCCCGCTGACTTCTTTGACCTGCTTACTTGCACCCACGTTGAGCTTAGTGCTGATGCCTGTTTTTAAGCCGCAAGATCTTCACTCTAATCTTGTCGACTGCCACTACAGGTACAAAATCAAAACACCTCTGCAAAGTCTGTCACTTCACACTAAAGTCACAGTTTTAACTCTTACCTAGCAAACCAGGTGCTAACCTTCAAGCTAAATGTCAAGCAAAACAACTAAAGACAACAACTTCAACTGTGTTTCTATTTAATGTAATGATATGCTGTTTGAAGTGAAAAATTGTGCAAGTTCAATGTCTCCTAGCTAACTATTTTAATTCTACCTTTAGGATCTATTTTAGTGCATTTCACACTAGAAGACCTCTCCAACTCTTAAGGTGTGAAAGAGCCCTCAGGCATGAAAGCCGTACAGTCAGAACTGAGGACGCCTTTCAAATAAGAAAAATGTCTTTAAGAACAAAGATGAGATCTGACAGCTCTTTTTTGAGGCACTTTAGTCTTCGAGCAACTTTGAGTGGTATTTCTTCTGGAAGTACATTATAGGTAACCTGATTTGACCCATTTTATTACAGTTTCTCCTACAGCATTAGAGGTACCTTATATTTTTTTAGAGTTCTAAAAAGATATTGTTTCTCTATAAGACAGAACAAAATACCTACAGAATCAGTTCTAAACAAAGTCAAAGCTCACAATTAATATTTTTATGGATCCAAGATGTCTTATGAAGAGTTCCTGAGGAAAAGAGAATCTAAAAAATAATTAAAACAGATGACCAAATATGTGCCAAAAGTTAAACAAATGAACACACAGTTAAGGTTTAGGTATGTCGATGATTAAAAATAACCTTAGAAAGGCTTGATATAGACAACCTATGCCAGAAAGCGCACATAATTATCAAAAGAATTAAATTATTTCCACACTTCTTGTTCACTAAAATATTTGATAGTTGTGACCCTAATTGACAATTAACAGACAGTTTTAGCAAAAAATAAAACTTTTCAAAAAAGTTAGTTCTACAAAAGCAAGGACAAAAAATTACTTCCAGGTTTTCCAATCAGCTCTTCTCATTTGTCATACACAGATTCACAAACTTAGATGGCATGACTTTGCTGAACTGTGCTGCAGAAGAAAAAAAAAAGGTACAAAGTGGTCAAAAACTTCCAATAAGCTATTGCGTGCATGCACTTTCACATCTTTTAAATCGGTGAAGTGTAAAAAGACCCTCTGAACCTTTTTTTATATGACAGTAGAGTTTCCAGTTAGAGATACTTTTCTCAGCAGAGCTGTAAAGTCTAGATAGCTGGTCTGAAATAAACCACTGACCTTGTTTTTGGAGCGAAGACGAGTGTTGTCAGGCAGGCAACTCCTGTTTTTGCCCGCCATAAAAAGTTTGCTGTCATCTCTTTATGTCAAGACTCATCAAATTCATGGCCTCTTTCACCTCTACATCAGATACACAATGCACAAAGATCCTGCCTCACTTCAAAGAAAATAAATCCCCCAGATCGGCTCCGAGACAAATCCTTTTCACACATTGCATAGAGCAGAGCTAAAGTGAGCGCGGCGCACTCAGCACATTGAAGAAAAAATTCATAATAGACACAAATTACATTGAAAAAAAAAACCCACACACATACACACCAAGATCTACATCACTTTGTCATGTAGAGCATTAGAACAGGAACAGAGACTTTGCAATTACAAAATTTTGCCGTACATGATGCGCATGAATAGTCTGTATAATTAGCTCGTGTGGGCAGTGTGAGGCAATCTGCTGTAAAATAACTTCCATTCTCCCTGCGGAGAGATCGCTGACCGTCTGTCCAGACTGCTGCTGTAGCTTTATCATCCATTCATTGAGCCATTGTACCTTAGAGTGTGTGAAGAGCTTTCACCATAGGTCCCAGGTTATGGTCTGTTTTTTTGGAATCACTGAAAGTAGAATTTTAATTAGCATAGCCATGTTTATAATGTCTATAAACTGACATATACCAGCTTTTCTGGTCTACTTGCCAATTAAACTACATCTTTATTTGCATTCTTTGTCTGAATGATCATGCATTAAGACATTTCAAGCCAACTTTTTCAAGTGTGAATTCCCACGATCAGAGTAACCAGGCTCTCTCTTTACTTCTACAACCCTTATGTTACCTTAAGAGCCATCTGTGTGTGATGTAATATTTTTTGAAGTACAGGAGAACCTTTACTGTGACCTAAATTTGCTCCGAATGCACAGTTAGTGCAAAGAAAATTGTGGCAACTTTTGCGTAGCATGGGCAAACATGTTTTGACAAGTGACAAAAAAAAAATCTGTACAATAAGTGGCTGCTGTTTCATATCAAACTACCAAACTGCAAAAATAAATACACACCAGAAGTTCTAGACCAAATATCAACAACACGCACAGTAGTAGTGGTTGTTGCTTATACCTTTAAATGTCAGGTTGTATAGGTTATGCAAGCCACTTTGTTGAATTGCATAAACCAAGAGTTGACTTGCAATAAGATCTGACACACAGTGACGGCTCACTGTGGACAGAAAATGATGTATGTAAGCAGAGCCGGTCCAAGGCAAAGCAAACCAAGTTACATAAAAAGTTAAGCAAACCACAAACTATTAGGGTTTTCATCTTCACTTCATTGTTCTGGGGAAAGCACCAGCAGAAACAAGCAGAGAATCTGTAGCTTAATACATTCTGTCACCTCTAATCTTTCTCTTGGACTACTGAGAAGGTTGGTGGTTAAAATAACAAATGTCTTTAATTTTTATAGATTTATAGGTCCCTCAGTCAGTCTTCTAGCAAACCCCACCTTCACCTCCCATGCTCAGTCTGTTAAAACTGACAAAAAATAGAATTATACAGGTAAATGTAAATAATCTCAAAATATTATTTTAAAAAAGTTGACTACTTCATGTATATTCAGTCATTTCTCAAAGTGAAACTTGAATTGTGTGGACTCATTACATGGGAAGAAATATTTCAAGCCTGTCCTTTATTTCTCATAATTTTGATGATTATAACTTCCTAATGTATGTTGATTGATTGGACCTGCTGTGGCATGAATTACTGCGTCACAGAGGCGGTCAGCTTGTGGCACTGTTGGGGTTTAATGGAAGCAGAGGTTATATTGATAGGTGCATTCAAGCTCATTGGTTTCACTTTCAAGTTCTACTTTTTAAAAAGAGTGACAAAAATGATGGGACTTTTTTTCTTTTAATAGTGTTCTAATTTTTTGAGCTGCAGCTGTAGCATAAATGAACGAGCTCTCTTAAAAAGCGTGTCTTTGAATGAGAAGACTAGAAATATAAATCTGGCCACTAAAAAATACAATTTATGTGAGCAAAGAAAACAAGTAAAATGTGTAATCAATTTCGTAATTGTTTAGTTTAGTGAAACTTTATTATGGAGAAAATATGAGATATTAATGAGACAATTTAATGTTGGAGCTCTGAACTTGGCTCACAATATTTCTGGTGATGAACTATGAACATAAATTCATTCACTTCAACACTGGCAAAACTGAGTTAAGAACTGGTTCTAGCCTCAGTTATTGAAATCCTCAACGATTGATCAGGGTATCTTACTTAAACCCAAAAACCTAAATCCAAATTTCTGGAAAGAAGACGTAAGAAACGAAGGCAAGTCGTTGAGACGCAGCAATCACAACAAATTAC